CCGTGCGCTCCTTTCCCAGAATTATAAACGAGTCACCAGAAAATAGCAAGTTTGACAAAATTGTCCAACAGGCCATTAACTGTACAACTGTGCTAAATAGCCAGAGACACGTCTAAATCTGCCAGAACCAGTGTCTCTCAAGTCTGCCAAGGGGATAGATACTTCAGCTGCAGAAATACCCATCTGCAGCTTGCCACCATCTGGACCTTGCAAACTAAGCACTGAAGTGATGGGCAGGCACAGTCCAGCTCAGGAGTGGCTCTCTAGCTCTTAGCCAGATCTTTATAGTTAAAGATGGTCATACTGAAAGGCAGTTGGGCTGGCTTGACTGAGGTAGACATTGGTATTCACAAAAAAAATTGTTTTATTCCCTGTATTCCTTCAAAGTCTATTTGGTATGTAATTCTAAAGATTAACTGAACGTACTGACAGTTTAGTTGGTTTCTGTTAAACATTCTAAAGCCCGACAACTGGGATTTTTCATGTGTACAGTGTCTTACAAATAAATCCACCTCATCTGATTTTAAGGAGCTCCTTCACCCAAATTACACAACACACACACCCAAAGAGATAATCTGGAGAGAGGCCTGTGAACAGATATAAGGTTAGACTGGGCCCATGGGGAAGACCTGAGGGCAATGAGCATGGACATGACACAGCAGGGCAGCAAATTTTTACTCAGATTTCAAAAAACCCAGCACACCCATGGATGCTGTAACTCACGTAAAACTGATCAGAGTAGGTCTAGTCTGTAACATTTTCAAGCCAGTAAACAAACTGAGCATTTTTATTTAAAAAAAAAAATTTCAAAACTCCACTGAAGCTTTTCAAAAGAGCATAACGAATTGGTCAAGTCTTAGTCTCTACTTCTTAAAGCATTTTCTTTCTACAAGTGAGGAGGGGGGGAAAAAAAAAAAAAATCACCCCACAATCTTGATTTTCTGGAATAAAATGTAATACTATATGCTTTGAGTTAAAACAATATGTTAGAGTGAAAAAAAAGGGACACAAGGACTACAGCCTGTATTAAGAAATATTGCTAAAAAGGAATTTTAACTAAAAACCCCATCGTTTTGGATATTTTTAGCAATACACTTGTTTGCTTTACTACTATGTAGACAGGATCACGAGGCCATGCTTATCTACTTTTTGTACTGGCTGAATCAAACACTTCTCCAGATCAGTGTTGCACCCTTCAAGCACAGCTTTCTCTGAAGCTTATCCTTTTCATAATACCCCTAGAGAAAACTAACAGAGTATTGTTTTGAGGTTATGTTGCAGCAACAGGACACACTCTGACTTGTGAGTCTGCAAATTGTTTTTTGTTCGTCTAATGTAAGATGATTCATAATCAATTATGGTTCTCAAATCAAAGGCTCCTGGTTGTCTTCAAAACATCAGAGAAGGAGCCATTACCATCAGTAGCAGGCATGTGTAGAGTTCTTTTTAAGTCTTATGAAATCAACCTATTTCTACTTGTTAGCTCCTGAAAAAGCAGTGTTCAGCCCCCTCTGAGGCTCATGTTTGAACCTGACACCAATGAAACAAGAAGAAATCCTTCAGGTGTACCTGAAGTTTCTTCTCAAGCCATCAGACAAGTCCTACATAGTCTCTCCAAAGTTGAATTCTATTACTTCTATCACTTGTCTCTGCTCCGGAGGAGGCATACATAAAAGTGTGGGTCAGGCTTGCAAATTCAGGTTATTAGCTATAGGAATATCATCCCAGGTTTACTTCCTTGAGCACTCCAGGTGTTAAGAACTGCCTTTAGAGTTCTGGGGATGTTTCTGCATTTGCATTCACTTATTTACAAGCTTGGGCTATTGAGCATTCTTTAGTCACCTACATTCCTTAGCCACTTCTCTGATGCTTTTCCACTCACTAACAAAATCTTAGGTTCATAAAGTTTTAAGAACCAAGTTCCAGATAAATCCACAGGACTTCAAGCTTTTGGAAGTGGGCCATGGCCTTAAGGGCTAAGCACATGATCCTACACCAGATGACAGACACACACAATGGCTAGTATATGTAGATTAATCCTTTTCCTGACTTCAAGCATTTCTTTATTTATGGGCAAACGCTAAGCAGTGATTGAAAGGAACAGATACTGCCCTTTAGGGCCCTTTGGCCTTCCTCTAAAGACATCTTATCAATTTCTTTAATTATCGCAGTGACAGAAAACCTTGGTGAAATATTCAAAAGGGGGAGGGAAGAAAACACATGTTTATGTTCATTTAGGACCACTTGAAAACAGATTATTCTAAAGATGGAAAGAGAATCATTGGACATTTAAATAATTAATTTCAGCAAATCCATTAAATGGGAACCAGTGTAACATTTTAACTGATTCAGCACAACAAGTTTTCACTGATCAGCTTCTAAATTGCTATTTCTAAATCGCCACTTGCAGAAATTTTACCATAGCAGAGTGTAAATCACTAGTCAGTCATGTGCCCCGTGTACAAGACAAAGAACTAAGATACAAACAGTCTGGTGACAGCCTGGATATGATAATTAGATAAAAATCATGCAAATGAACAGAGAACTTCTATCATTTACATCTCTGCGAGCAGTTTCACTGTTTATAAACATTAAACCTTGGACATTTATTTCAGATAGTTAAGATCTACAGCAAAATCTTCTGACATTGTTAAGCACTATTAGGTTTCTGTAGTTGAAAAGCAGAAAGCATAATTTCTCAAGCTTCATTATTTTGCTTAGAAAATAAGAAAATTAGAAGCAATAGTCTGGTTAAGACTGCTCTTATCAGAGCAACAAGGCAGGATGAGAAGCAGCTTTTGCTGGTTCCGATGAGCTGCATCAATTCTCTGCTGCAGAGAGCATAAAGAGTCAAAACCAGGCAGTTGCACAAGGTCAAAAGTAAAAGCAGCAACTTAAAAACTAGTCAACATTTCTTCATGCTTGATTTATTTATTTTTTTTTTTTAGGCGAAGTATAGTTGTGAAACATCTATTTTTATTTTTTTAAATGTAAGTGATATCAGACATGTACTGCAATCTCAGCTCAGTCAAGCTGAGTAAGGTTAAAGAAGGGAGCACCTTCCAAAGACATTGCTGCTGTAAGTGCTCCACACAATCTGGTAAGCAGCACTGGCTTGTCAACGAAGTAACAGTTTAAAATGCATGGGGTTTGTGATGTTATGCTGACAAACAGGCAGTTGTGATTCTTCTGTATGAAACATTATTTAACCTGCATTCCAGCAAATTGCTTGTCCCTGGAGTTGCAATTTTTCACACAAGCCATAAAGGCATTTCTAAGCCTTGAAGTTCAGACCCCAATTCACATGGTACATGGTATGGGAAAAGAAGCTACACCTCCCAGTTTCCTGCCAGGTCCCAGCTGACAATTACTTTCTCTCTGACTACATTCTTCCAGTATTTTGAGTTTAACATTGTGATTTTCCATTCTGATTTCTACCAATGTTATTTTGTTTCACTGTGTTCTGCCAAGCAGTGTCCTAACTTGACAGAGCTGGTATAATCTATATATAGTTTGCATATTGATTCCTGTAGTACTTTGAGATCCTTCAGATAGAAGGTTATCACAATATAAGGTTCCTTCATCTGTCATTTAAGGTAACCTTTAAAAGATACAGAGTTCAGTCCAGATGTTTATCCAAACTGTTCTAAATCTTTGATGTCTGGAAATCCAGAATGAACAGGGTTTTTTGAGTGACTTTCAGTACCACTTAATACCAATTCAGATAAACTACCATATCATCCTGTCACTGTAATCACATGGGATGCTAATAACGCCTACCATTTCTATAGAACTTTATAAAAATGAATCACCACAGCAGTCCTTCACAGTATTATCCCCATTTTATTATTGAGGAAACAGGGTGTCTGATATTATACCATTAAGTGACCTGCTCTTTCAATCTAAATAGAAATGAAAGATGCAGAAACTGTAACTTTCTGTGAGACACTTCCCCAGCTTTTGTTTGGTGAAATGCTGTTTAAATATTTAGATCCCACAAATTCTTTTACCATCACAGCACACTGATAAAAAAAAAAAAAAAGCCTCTGCATATTCAAAGTAACACTGTTTTGACTCTGCTGTGACTTAGCAGCAATATTTCAATTTATGGCAATTTTGATCACAGTAGAAAAGGCAGCTGAACGCAAAATAAAGACACATGCCACCGTTCATGATTTTCTCATACAGCCTGGAATGCGAGATCCCATCCTTCAGGTAAGGCATGAACCTCTTAAATTCTTGACATCATATCAATTCTCCAAACAAAACTAACAATGTGTGTATCACAGACTGTAACACAGCCCGTTATTTAATCTATAGAAATCCTTCCTAGTTCCTGGTTTCCATGAAAGGTTAGCGGCGTTGGAAAATTTGAGGGTTGTTTTCGTTTTGGTGGGTTGTTTTTTGGGGTTTTGTGTTCTTTGAAAAATCCCAGCCTTCATGACTAACACCACGAGTACTAAAAAACCTCGGGGAAAGCATTGTATGAAAAAATGGTTTTGTATCTACCAGAAATCTTAAGGACTTAAACTTAAGTGAAGCTGTTAACTTCACTAATCACAGAAGCCAGAACGAACTAACCAAAAAAGCGTTCAGCACCATCTTGGACTCACTTCCAACTGAACATTTATGTGTTGTGTAAAACTAACTATATACAACTCCCAAAACCACTTCTACAGTAAAATAGCCTCTGCAGAATTAATTGAGTGCCAGTTTGGCCCTGCTTCACATTCAACAGTCATTTAAGGAGAAATTGCTGAAGAAAAATCTGCCACAACTCCAACTTTCAGGAGTCACAACCTGGGACTTACCCCAAAAAATTTCGGTATTGGTTTCATGTCAACTACATTCTAAATTGTGAAAGATGCAAATGTTTCCATATCAACCAACCTGACTTCCTGTCTAAGGCTCATGGAACCATCATGGTTCCATGATTATTGTTGTGAAGTTGGGATTTTCTGGTAACACACTCTTCAGTCAAGACCATTTTGAGATTTTACCTTCTGGAAGAAAACAATTCACAAGGAATGGGTCTCCACACCCCAGTTCTGCCCTCTGCAGCAAACTGGAGAGGCACAAAGAGGGGCTTTCATGGTACAGTTCTGTAGCCAGACAGAGGAATTAGCATAATGTATTAGACACCTAAGTGAAAACAAACTGCACATTCATCTGGATTTTATCAAGAAATTATAATTCAAAATTAATTCACATGACAGTTGGTCTATAACAATAACTAAGTTACCGAATATTGTATCACACTGTTCAAAAAAAAATCATTAAGTATAATTAAGAAGCAAATAATAGAAGCATCTTGTGGAAAATGTCCTATTTCAAATATATTCACCTTTTTTTAGTAGCAACTCTGAGACGAAAAGGCAGTGAAAGTAGGGTAACCTCAGCTTCAAAGGGTCCACCCCATCTCCACATCTCAACAATTATAGCAAGAATAACGTTTTTTCGCCTTTAACTTCAATTTGCAGAAGACAAGTCTTATCAAAATTGGGCACTCCCACACTAAAACCTGTGTTTTGGGCATTCTCTTTGTACATGCGGAGATGTTGCTATGCATAATTAGCAAAGAAAGCTTAGGTGAATTCTAGACATCAAAAAAGAAACAGAAAAGTCAAAAGCGGCAAGACAGACAAGATAGAACTTGATAGCTGCACTGGCAGGATTACAGGATGCAGTGGCCTATGGCCGCAAAGGACTATTCCATCAAGGTATCTGGTCTAGTCGTTCCTACTTTACATCCCTGTGATAACACACTGATGCTGAGAGTACAACAAATTATGTAAGGAGACTGAAAACAGCTAGGAGGAGTATACAGGACACTTAAGTATCATTCTTCCCAAACCTTTATTCTTTTCATCACCCAACAGTTGCATCTTTTGCTCTCAGTGTGTGTGAGATACAAAAGAACTAGACATGAACAGTGATGTTCAAGTAACCACAGCTAATAACTATATTCACCCTGCAAGACTTATCCTGCATGCACACATACTGCTGTTTCAGGAGGGTACTGGGAGCTTTGAAAAACCAAGCTAGAAAGGTTGAAGATAAGCATTGCAGATTCTCCAATTCTAGTAGACAAAGAAAGAAAGATTTTCCCTATTAAAGATAATTAGAAATTAATACATAGTAATGGTGGTTCTGGCTTTCTAGCCTGAATCAGATCACGACAAACCCATAGCTAACCCTATGGAGTCCTACTATTGGGCATCTTCACACGGTTACACAGTGAACAGATACATCATTGCAATGTTACTATAAGACCAAGTCGGAAGTCAGGCTCTCCAGCTCCATTTTAGTTAGGGAGTCATTAAGGTGCCTAGAGGAGTTAGCTTTTGACAACTGTACTAACATGACAAGAGAGTTTCATCTTGTCAAGCACCTTTAGACTCGCCTCACCACCAAACAGGAAAATGAGTACCTCTCAGTTTCTTTTCTGTTCTGGAAGAGATACCAACAATCCGTCTATGTCCAAGAAAAAAAAAAGCCTTGGAAATGCAGAGCAAAACAAACCCTCAAACACTGCATATGGTATTGTGTTAACTTTGATGTCAATTCTTTGTGGCAGGACACATCCCCACGTGTAATGTACTTTTCTCGGCACAACGCTAAAACTGGCCAGGGGTATTATTTCAATTTCTAGAGAAGGCAGCTGATATAGATGAGAGTCAGCGCTGTTACCAGAGCAGACAGCAGCACTGACCCACACATTTTCACAAGGGTGTGTACACATGCAAGATAACTCTGGTAATTCACATCAAAGTTACATACACGAGAGGTGTGGAACTGGGCAGATGACGGTAATTGAACATGAAGACTACAGCAGAACATTTTCATAGTGTGTTTGCAGACATTAGAATAAGAGGCTTTGAATACATGGATAGTGAGGGAGCTCATATTTTAATCACCCTCCCAAGGATTCTACAGTCTGCATCTGAAGCCAAATTTCAAATCTGTTACAGCTTAGATTGAGTTGCATTAGACAAAAACGCCTTCTATCCACAACCAGTGTTTTGGTGTGTACCATTCAGCTTCCTAATAGGCATGGCACTTGAATTTTGTGGGCTAAACCTGTGCCACTGTCACAAATGTACTGCCATTTCCTGATAGCATGAACAATGTATTTTGAATTTTGATCTTCCACACTATTATGAAGGAAGATGAATTAGAAATCCAAAATTGTGACATTTCTTAGTTTCATATAACAGAAGAAAAGCTGTAAAGGAGTATTACGGACCCTTTGTACAAGAAAAGGGTACTGTTCTCATTCCTTTCGAGAAAAGATTTAGTAAGTGCGATACAATGCCTGATACTGGTATAGAGAACACACAGAGGCCTCATTTTCCAATGCAACAGGCAAATCTAAAGATGTAGTCTGATGTCATTGCTGAGATAAGCAGCAGTTACTGGACAGCAGCCAGGCAGATAAAGCTACAGTATTATCTGAAGCAGTATTGGTAGTGTCCTTCTGGAACAGTGACTTTACCTACCACCAGTAGAGAAACACAGTAGACTGAATACCTCTCTAGCTGCTTCATGCACTGGAAGGCCGCTCTAATTGTGTAGCTGTGAATCCTCCATGTAAAGGGAATCCCTGGGCAGAGAAAACCAATACAAGAGACAACAGACACCTGCTTCCATCTCTTCCTTGGCTGATTGGGCTTATTGTGAGTGGTCATGTGAGCATCTTTCAAGCCCTCTGTCTCTGGCCATTGCCTACACTCAGTCCCTCTTGCAGACTCCAATTTAAACACTCAGTGATAAGGTGCAGCAGCAGCTGACCCGTGTCTTTGCTGGAAGATGATCCTTATGAGAGCATGCCCCAACAATACGAATAACTCTCCCTCAAGACAAGCTAGAGATTTCATTTGATGATTTAATGAAAAAGCAGCCTAACTTTAATGGTAGTTAATGTAGCGAGATTTTTTTTAAATCCTCACTCCTCTCAGTATCTTCTAGAAATAGTTCTCTCACTGTTCTGATTTCTCCCACTGTTTTGCTATTGCTCTGTTGGCTTTTTATCTTGCTAGAACAAATTCAAGACTCTTTTTTACTTAATTGCTCTTATTAATATTCACATATTAATGCAATGCATTTATTATTCTAGTTGATAACAATGTCTCTCTCCTAACAGCCTTATTTCAGAGAATGAAGATCTTAAAGAAATCAGAATGACATTGTTAAAAGTCAAAACATTACTTGATTTGTTTCCAGCTATTTTGGACCTTTTCAGGTTCCAACAACATTACATGTATTTGAACAGGGATAGAAATGATGCATAGTTTTTCCAATTCCCATTAACTGCTCTTCCTTACCAAGTTGCCAGCACGGCATTTCAGAGAACCCTTCTCCCTGCTTCTACCTTCAAACGCTTTGGAAGCCTGAGAACAGTGGATTAAAATACAAAGAGAAAAACTGACCCAGAACCAAAGGGAGAAGCCATGTTTAGAGCAAACAGAAAGGAGCAGCCAGTCTGACAGAGGCGTCAAACAAGACCTGCCTCACATTTACATCGTAGAAAAGGAGAATGTTTACCTTAAAAAGGGGGTGGGAAGATCTTGCTTTTAATTTTCAGTTTCCCAATCACACTGGAAACCGGCCACCACATCCCATAGAACAGGAAGATGCTGCCACCTACAGGTGCGAGTGCCAGCAAGGCACTAAATCACAACAGCTGGGTCCCCACGACGGGCAGAAAATAACCCCGCAGTCGGAAAGGCCAGCAACCCATGGTTACATGGTACTTACCACAGCGACGCTTCATCCTATTTCTTAACCTTCTTTCATTATTCCTATTGTTCAGGAAGCAATACAGGCACATAAACCAGCACCTTTTGCACAGGGAAAAAAAAAAAGCAGTCTTGCTTTGTAGCCCTTAGAGCGCAAGGATCCACTGCGGGAAATACAAGATCTCTTCGAATCCCCACTGACACTTCAGCTGCCATGATGCAAAGATTAAGGTAAGCTATTCTTGTAAGTAAATCCACAAATCCTGATCTAAGACAATCGTGTCAACATTCAGAGAGGTCAAAACACCTCACATGGCTGCGCTTTTAGCTTGCAAGTTATGGAAATTTGCATTTTTAGCTTTACAATGTTTATTCTTAGTTCCATGGTGGTTTATGAGTATAGTCCTTTATAACAAGCTCAAGAATGCGTAAGCTGAGAAAATACTTTAGAAGAGGCTTGAAACAATGCAAAAAAGCTTGGCATGGTGGAAGAGGAAAGTAGTCCATAACCATGGTTCACAAAGAATCAGGGGTTTGGCATGTAGCTACCATACTCAGGAAACACATTTGGAAGGACTCCATTTTACAGACCTCTCAGTGAAATATGGAAAGTCTCACCCTCGGTTCCAGACAGTTTACAAGTTTATATTCCCATGGCCATGCAATACTAGTAGTAAATACAAAACCAAAGAGGAAACCTTAGGAAAACACCCAGTTCCTTTTATCAGAGCCTTTTTGCCTGAAAAGTGTGTTTTACTTTTTTTTTTTTTAATCAGAGCACAAAAACTGAATTATGTTTTTTCAATAGTACTCCCATCAGCATGCCAAACAGCACAACGTTTTGACTAGGGACACAGTAACCTTAAAATATCTGCCAAACCTTACTCCTTTAAGCCGTTAGGGCGTCCCACAGTAGCTGTGCTTTGAACTTCCCCGACTCCTGTGGGGTCTGTCTGGCTAACTGATACTTCACATAACACTAGCAACCATCACCACAGTGAAAGAAAATAAAAGTAGTAATCTACAAATGCAGAGGGAACCTTCTTCCCACATTGCCTGTTTCAAACTAACACAGCCAAATTATTGTGTTGTGTGTAAAGAGTGATTGAGCTAGGACAGCCACTTGAGCCTGGTCTGCTGCAACAGCCACATCTTGTGCTCCAAGTCGTCTTTTTAAGAAGCAAACAAACCTAGCCCTACTCCTAATTTTTTATGGGGGCAGAGAGACTCCTAAGGTTGAACAAGACCTACCTGCAAAGGCAACCTGGACTTCACAAGCACTCCAGAGACGAACAGCGTTAACAGCACTCCTGCAGGGAGATGGACATGTGGAACATCTTGCTTGCCCACAGGCTGAGCTGGGCAAGCAGCAGCCAGCATTACTGCAAATCCTGCAGATGCTCCCCATGGGTGCAACGCCAGGGCAGTCTGCACAAATGCCAGGACATCACTTGTGTGTCAGTTTGCAACATGCTCGCTTTGTGTTCACTGGTTTTATTTCACTACTGCAAAAGCTGAAGTAACATTCAATAAAATACATTTCTTGTCCCACACATCAGTGTACTCCTCTGTACACTGCTTTGCTTATAAAAATATCCGAGACCAATAGACAACCCATACCCTCATGCAGCACACTAGGGATCTCCATAGCTAAAAGCATGTCACGAACCAACTTGAATAAAGCACTAATGCTTGTTTCTACCGGCTATAATAATTCACACCTTCTTTACCAGACACAGAAGACTACCTAAAATACATTAGTGGCAGTGGGCTACACATGCAAATTCCACCTTGCTGAGCAAAGAGATTAAGCCTACAACAATTGTGGGTGTTTTATACTCATACACAACCTTTATCTCACTGCATTTATCAAGATCCAGGCAAATGCATCAGTGCTATTAATACACTAGCAAGGTGAATGTATGCATTGTAGTAGAGGAAAAACAGACACTTTGCTGATTCTCAAACTAATTACTAATGGGTGAACCCTGTATTGAGTGAAGCTGTCAATTATATTGGCATGAAGTCAAAGAAGAATCAGTCTTGATGCACAGAAATACAACACTGAAATCTAGGATAACAAATTCTGCCTTTAAAAATTCAGTGATAGTTTTCTTAATTTAAACTCACCTATACTGTGTTGGAACAAAACAGCAAGCTTGCACATCAACAATGCTGAAAACAGCTTACAGATTTGGGTAAGAAAATTCTTATTTGGATGCCATTCTCCTCATCTTGTCCAGCTGAGCAGAGCTGGAAAGTAGCTCTGCAAATGAAATGCCAGAAAGTGAATCAATTCATCTCAGCAAATATAAAAATACAACACTATTACATTGGGCAGACTTTCCCCCATATGCAACAAGCAATACATTCTATTTTCAATCTAGAGGATTTATTTCCAATTATGGAAGAAAAAATGAAAAAAATGCAAACAGCTCTACACAGACAGACCACTGTATCTGCGTGAGTCTCCTGCCAGAACCACAGTCAAAAAGTCTGACAGAAAGAACAGAACCAGCTTCACCTTACTCTCAGCCTGAGCTGGGATGCCTGGGACAAGACCATCTCAAAAAACATCCTTGTAAATTTACCTAGGTTTAGATCTGCAGCAAAACAAAAGAACTGTCCTACAAAAACACAGCCAGTCCCCCAAGGAAAGACATTTTCTTCTGCTCCCATTTCTGTGCACTTAATGTCTATTCAGAGAGACATAAGAATTCATCGCCGGTCCAATTCATTGCTGTACATCACTGAGTGATTTCATCCTTTATAACCAACTGTAGAAAGAAAACATCCTTGTTTTGCTTCCTATGGCACCTACTGCAGCCAAAAATCAATTCCTCTTGATCCCAGCAGCCAGCCAGTGTGTGATCTAAAGTGCCAAAGAGCTTAACCATTCTTGCTTTGTTAAGTTCAGCGAGAGACCCTAAAACATCAAAACTTCTTTAGCCTGTCTATCATTTAGTACCATTTAATAACAGGGGACCATCTCAGTGTTGTTGTTGTACTAAAAGATGGCATTGGCATTCTTCCATGTAGTGATTGTCCCATCACTGAAAACTTATCAGTCATTCTCAGCTGAGCAGCAAACTGGATGCTTGATCATGACTGTCCAAGATTCAGTCTCCCCCTTATAGTTTGGTATCTTCTGAAGTACGAGACTGACACTTAAGATCAGAAAACCTCCATTCATCCCAACTTTAGAAGTGCAGTTAGGAAGCGTCAGCAGCTAGTGAAGTTATTTTGAGAAGCAAAACCCAACCCAACACTAGACTTTATGGAAGTAAGAGGCCTCTGAAGTTGGGGGAGGTCTACATGCAAAGACAGCCCTGAGCTTCACAGGCATTGCAACAGCCCACAACACACCCCAACACACAGCATTAACCTCGCATCTGTGGGGAGATGCACAGACACAGAGGCCAAACTGGCCAGGCAGGAGCTAGCTTGGCTCTGAAAAGCACCGAGATGGATTCAGGGCGGCTGCACTCAAGCTAAACAGCAGCAGTTTAGAGATACTGGTGCTTTCCTTGGACAGTTTGCACAGATGCCAAGGAATCTGCTGCTGCTGCTGAAAAGTCAGATCTTTAATAACTAGAAAGCACAGGAAGTGATGCTATCTTGATTTAGATTGCTTCAATATTTAATCAGTACTGATTGTCCTTAAAAGTCTCATAGATAAATAGCCAGAATCTGAAAGCTTTGGATTTTAAGCTCTGTATGCACCTGGGGGATGGGGGAAGTATTCATACATTCATTTTCTTCCTACTATCAGCTGCTAAATTTGAGCATTCCTTGCCACTCACACACAACACATTTCTACTCATCCTTCCCTACTGTACAACTGGATCAAAGATGACTTATCTGAATTATCCCACAATACTAATGGGGAATATCTCTGTTCTGTATGTGCATTTTGCAATGTGACTCCAAGTTTCAATAGATTTGTCCATAATGCCCATGTCAGCTAATAAATGATTGAGTGCTTAGGGGAGAGGGAGCAGCACAAAGAGGGAGACTTACTGCTTTAATACTGGGGTTGTATCTTGAGGTTTATATTGTCTTAAAGAGCTTTCATTTTGGTAATATGAACAAAGTTAAAACACTACCTTGCCACATTTTTCAGTGGCCAGAACTAACAGCAGGTAGAGTCACAGCAATACAAAGCACCCCTGCAGTGGTAAAAGTTAAACTATTATTTACTTCATAGCTGTATCACTAAAATGGGGTAAAACCAGCCCCTAATCTGCCCTTGGGTAAAAGGCAGGGGAGTGATACTGAGAAGTCTCCAGCTGGATCTAATAGGTCCCCAGGTAAAGTCATCTGAGGCTTATCTTTAACTCAGTTGAACCATAAAATGGGATGAAAACAGACCTGAACAGAAGACATACTCTGTTTCTAAGCTGCTTGCTTTGAAATTATTGCAAAATTCCAATATTAATTTGTGTGTCAATATTTTACAAAATAGAAGAGAAGCTAGAAGGAGGCAAGAAACACAACCCAGACATGTGTCTCCTCAGGTACAATTTCCCTGTTGGGTATCCAGTGGCAGATCTCATGGTCTAATACTGTCCCAGTTGCTCTACCATTTAAATTAGATCTTGGATAGACCTTGCGGGTTAGATCAAAAGATATGCTATGTCTCCTTCCATCTAAAAGGTAGAGTTGGAGGTTTTTTGATGAAAACTCTACAGTGGCTTCCCTGCTCCCTGCCCTTATGCTATCAACTAAGTGACCTTATTTTCCAACATGCTTAAGTAAAGCCAACTTTGCATAAAGAAATTTAATTAAATGAAGCTGTCTGGCTCAGAATTTTTAGTAACAGTACTTAGAGCTCCTAAATAAGAACTTAAGTCTAGACATGTATTTAAAAACACCCATAACGGGACGGCATTTCAAAAGAACAAAAGCTGAAAGCAGTACTCCAGACACCTACAGGAGAACACCCTTTGCCCAGTTACCCTTTTGAGGCAATACCTGGTGATGATCTAATGAAGACTACTACTTTGTTGACAAATCACCTATATATTGTACAACCCACATTGTTTTTCACTTTTTGTTCATATCATTGAAAAGAAAACCTTCTGATGCACAAAAAAAGAAGCAGAATAAGAAGCTAGTACAAACTCTGTCCATAACACACACTTTGAGAAATGGCTTCCTGGTTTATAGCAGATTTATAGTTCTTATCTCAAGTTTCCAAAGTT